TTCTCCAACTATCATGTAGATATATATCTCAATCAACGCGGAATGGTGGCGAGCGTCATCTGAAAAACTGTTTTGTTGCCAATGTTTTAACTAAATTTGTTTATTCATTGGTTCAATTATTTTTTTTACCGAAAATGGCTTTCTGTGTGAGATCACGTGACTATACACACACGATCTTGTCGATATCCAGTGTGAAATAGGCTTTCCATATAGCTTTCTGTGGTTCAGTAAATATTTTATTTGAAAATATCAGTTTAAAAAATCAATACCAAAAACGTGTACAGCATCCTTAAAAGTCTTTGCAACCTTAATATTGCCAGAAATAGTATTCTTTTCTTTTCATGACATTGCCAAATTTATTCACCTTCTTGGGCAAGCATATTTGGAAAGTAGTTGATATTACATCAGACAGTGATATAGAGTACATAATCCATGAAATTCTGTCCATTCTGACAATTTTGACTTCTTTCAATTTCAATATAGTAGCATATACCGGTAGTCAAAATCAACTTTTAATCATGTAGTACCTATATATGTAATATCAAAGCAATCGGACTTGCCTTTTTTTTACAAGAAGTCGAAAATATCATTTTTTACCAAAAATATTCACTAAAATTAGAGAATTGGAGATTTTGACATGAAATTGACAAATCTGAGAAAGAACCATCCAAGGTACTTGCATATCAAATTTGAAAACATTCTGACTTGCGGTTTCGAAGAAGAAGTTGAAATTGTAAAGTTGACGCCAACGACGAAGGACAATCAGTAATATGAACAGCTCCGCTGTGTCGACTTTGTCGACAGCAGAGCTAATAAAAAGATACATAAAAGCAGGCAAAATCTGGACTGGAAAAATGATGGCACGCAAAAGGCTAAACAAGACATTATACAATATCAATTTTTAGATTTATGCCTAATGCACCATGATCAGACAACCTGCTCTCCCACCGACTGGAATTACAACAGCATGTAGAAGATATGTTCGTAAGGAATATAAAGAAAGAAAACCCTCCTCACCTTAACCACACCAAGTTGAATTATTAAATCAACCCCAGCGATATACCACTATATGTTTAATGAGTATAATTCAATATCCAGCCATTTAGCCATAGAGTATACAAGCAGACAAACTATTGAAGTTTCTTCCTGTTTTGTGTTACTATGGAAACGTTAACAATGGTCACTAAGGTAGTCAGTGGAAGTTTGTATTTGCTCCAATGATTTTACACCTTGGGGCTAGAAATGTGCCCTAAAGCACTGTCATACCAGATATTATAATATTCATTAGTGAATCAAGAGATAAGTATAAAATTCAGTGACATTTTTGTTGTTACCGTTGGAAACTGATGAAAGTGAGAGATAACACTGCTGCAGCTTATTAAAGTGTACATGTATTTAAAATGGCATGTTCAGATTTATTGAGGTTTCAACACTATTGTGACATACAGGTACATTGGATATCAATATGAGTGAATTATGGGAAATTCTTGTACATGTGTATCATCCAATATATCACATACTGACAGAGAACTTTTTTTAAGTGCATCTTCAATAAAAGTTCACAAGAGCTAAAAATTATATTATATGCTGGATTATTAAAGTATCATTTATTTTGACATGCACCACTAAAAGAATAATTATGGTGGTCCACTCGACAAATTAACGTATCATTTCAGAGTGCAATTTTATAATTAGCTTTATTTTTGTCGATATAAATTTTTTTGAATTGTTTTTGGAAATGTTAATGCATTCCTTAATATAAAATTTCACAAAAGTTGCTGTGATTTTCTGTTGTAAAGATACTGCCATGAAACTTTTATTACTACAAAATTTAGTGCCTCAAACGATTCCTTCGTACTGTATCTTGTATTCTTATATTTAGGTCTAGGCAAATACTAGTAAACAAGTTTACCAGTAGTTCCGATAGCTAGTAAGTATCAAATTGCAAAACAATAAAAAACAAATAAAAAATTCTGTGCTAACTCCAATGGTTCTGTCTGAGTGAATGTAATCATAGACCCTACAATATACAGGGACTATGATGTAATTTATAACAATAAAACTGTTTGAAAAAAAAACTAATTCTTCCTGTCTCATGAACCAAACCACACAACTGCAGAAGCACGATTATTTTTCAGCTTCACATATTTCTACTCCCCAATAATAACAGAGTACAGCTGAGTACAACATGTGTGTGAAAGAAAATGTTTTGACAATAGAGAGACATTATGCATTTGAATACCCTTGTTCTGCAGCATAAACCCATTGTAGATTTCTGTGTCCATTTATGTCATGATGGCAGATAGGCCCCCTACTATTATAACTCACATAATCAGACCATGACTAGAAGTACTGTATACAATAGCACATTGGAATTGTCACAATCTTGTTGCCAGGTGTGCTAGCGACTAACATAGTTCAACTAATTTTAACTTTATGAATTGTCACACACTTTGAGGTGTGTCCAGGTGTTATTTTTGCTATTATAGACTACACAGCATTTTGATAATATCCTGAGTTTTCTAAATAATAAAGTTTTAATTTGATTTAACAACCTTTTATTATTTTTAATACACAAGTTAACACTACTTCGTTTTCTGTTGGTCATTCAGAATCCTAAAACCAGTTACTGTATTTGCTCTATTAGTAGTGCATGTGCTTACGTAAATTACAGAATTTTCTATGGTGAAAGTAAGTAGTATTTCAAAGATTTTTTGCTTATATGCGCTTCTGTTAGAGATGCACTTGTAATAGAGCAAATACAATATAGTGCAAAATATTTTCGCTTGGAATTTATTTTCGCTAAAAATTAAAATAAAATGCAGTGAATATCCATATTTTTCTATACTTTACATTCAACTTATCAGAAATCAGTCAAAATAAATTCCATACAAAACACCCAAAAAGTCTTTTCAGTGAGAATTAATTCCAGCTAAAATAAAGTATTTTACAGTAGAAGAAAAAAAAAGTGTGGCATGTGAATTTCCTAGTACATGTACAGCAGTAATAAACCTGTTCCCTGATTTAATTTCATTTAACATTTTCAAGGGGAACTTAATTATTTTCAAACATTTGATCTGAGTATTTTACTTTGTGATATACCTGCATATTTTTTTTTTGTACCGTAGTTCTACTTTATGCAAGTGTTATTTTATTTGCTGTTCTGTTTTGTTAGTGCAATTAACTTTTCCTGTTAGAACTAAGTTATAATTATGTTGGTGATATTTCACTAAGCATTTTCATGTGTGTACTTGTTTTTTTAAAGGTACAATGATTCATGATTTAAATGCTCATTACTGATAAACAGAATGAGAGGCTTTTATCCAAAACAATACCATGGGAGGATAACAACTAGTAAATTATAACAATAGAAAAAGTCGACACGTGCAATACACATGTACCTTGACATACATTTATAAATGCATATATTTTATGTGTTCTGAATATAGGATTAAACAACTGTTTGATATTGATCATTGTACTACACATTCTGAGATATCAACAAATCTGTCAAAGAGGAGTACATGTTAATATACCGGTACATACAGAGCATAAGAGAGAGGGAGTGGTGGTTATACTTCAACCAATATTGGGGAGGGGATCTTCAGGCATGTTTTGTTCTACACTATCCTGTCACATAAACAAATTGTCGACTTTAATTGTGAAAAAAAAAATCTAGACAAAGGAAAAAAAACCCTAGGCAAAGGACAGAAAAAGACAGTGCAATAGTTTCCAGATTGTTCTTCCAGTGATCTTAGGTGAAACTTGTAGTGCACTACTACACCATGTTCCTTAACCAAGTATTAACATATGCAAACACTCTGCAATACAGAGAATTGAATTACTTTGTGCATAGGCCATGAACTGCTAGACAGTCCAAGCTTATAGATACAAAATTTAGTAGTAGTGTGAAGTCAAGTATATGGCCACATCTAATCACATAAACTACTATCCGTACCTTACCACTTTTGCACAGGGTCACATTTGTCTATTGAATGCCAGTTGTCAACAAACAAAATACCTTTTCAACATTCTATGGTAGGGGTATTCTTTAGGTGGCCGGCGTATTTGATATACTTTTAAAGTCTTTTGTAGGCTGAATGAAGTGAACTAGACAGGTTGTCAAAGATGGTTACAATCTTCCCAGCAGTGTCAAATACAGTTGTATGAGAATATGTGACGATAATAATAGCGACTAATTTGATGTTTTAACATTGACCGTTGAACGTGACAAAACCCGGATTCAAGATATATCCAATTAAGGTATTTGAATGGTTGATTAGAGAGCAACATTAGGACACAAGTCAAATTTTGGGTCAACTCATGGTGGAGCTAGTATGGTAAAGTTCACAATAAAAATTTTAAAACCGATCAATCTCATCTCCCCAGTGAATTATGAGGAATATTCCTGTCCCAGTCAAGAGTGATATGCTGTACCTGTGGTGGAAGTAAAATGAATTAATTTTAAGGGCCAGTTTTTTCCACAGTGTACACACCAAGAAACAAGTTTACCAGTACATCTAGTAATACAAAACAGAAGAAAAAGCGGTTTGTTTGTTTTTTACCAAGAGTTTAAAAACAAGCATTTTTTTCCACTGGATTGCGGAACCTTCAATATATCGAATACAAATAAACGTATTTAAAAAACAAAACATAAATTTTAAATCCAAGAGATTGTTGCCAGCTTTGGATACATTTGTAGCGTTATTGACGATTTTGACCATAAAGAACGACGTAGTCAAAGGAAGGAATTGGAATTATGAATTATAAACTGAAACTGTGGTATCCTCTATCCGACCTCGAACACTAGACACGAAAACAAACCAATTCACATCGTCCGACACAGTACAATCCATTCTTGGGAAAGAGGCCCGCATCGAGTGATTGCAAGCATAATGGATTTTTACGCAGACAGGAACGAAAGCCAACTCACTCCGACAGAAATTTTCTGATTTTCTGTATTCTTCCCAAACAAGAACAACACCGTAAGCTATACTTACCCTTACGACATCAATACAGATCCCGAGGCTCTTAAAATCCAATAGTCGACTGTACTTGGCTGATTTTTTTGCCGAGCTAAACGCAGATCACAACAACAACTTCAGTCGGCCTCTCAACAAACCACTGCACGCCGCGGTTGAATTCAAATCAATGTGTGACGTCACATACTAGTAAAACAAAAGGCATGACTCCAGTTATCGCTTGGTGTCGCTTTTCAATACTACTTACATTCTTTTTCATTCTCGGTCATTCTTTCTTCTCGTATTTTTGATATTTCGGCAATTTTATGAAACATCACTCACAGAAGAAACAAAAAAAAAATGTTTTTTATTTTCTTTTCCTAAAAACACGATACAAGTAGTATCCTGGTCTCGCTTTTATTTGAAATGAGAAGGGGTCAACGTTTAAAGGCTGACAGTTGAAACTGAAGCTATCGTCATGTATGCTACATGCCAAATATCAAGGTCGTAGGGACCGTACCGGCCTTACCGGCTATGGCCGGCCCACTTCTGCACGTCCCCCTAGCAGACATGGTCATATTTGTTTCTTCCTACGGCCTTGAATATCCAATTGATCCGTTGAAGCACTCATGATAATTTATTCTGTAGAGGGCAAGTGAATTAGTCCTTTAAAGCATCGACCAGGTTTGCCGTTGGTGGCGTTCTCGTAGAGTACAGAATATTGCTTGTATTTCAGATACCTACTAGAATATAGTTTTCTGAAATAGTATATACCATGTCGAGATTTTGTAGTACCTAAATATGACAAATGTCTATATATTTTAATAGGTTTGAGCAGATTGTCCTATGGCGGGAGCAGGTCATAACGGAAGCTCCCAAACCCCGGCCCCCCACTCCCTATATTTAGGGGGGGCTATGCTTGTTCCCTCATTTTTTTGACCCCCCCCCTATCTAGGGAAAAGAAGAAAATTTACCCCCCCCCTTTCACGGGCTTTTCCGATGAATTTCACCCCCTATCTAGGGAACTTTTCAGTCTAGAACTCCTTTTAAACCCCCCTTTTTTGTATATCTCGGGAAGTGTTTTGAAATACACCCCCTATTTTGAGAATCTCGGGAAAACAAGCAAAAAATACCCCCTTTTCTACGATTTTCTCGGGAAAATGTTCCCGAGACAGATCGTCAAAAAGTACCCCTTTCCCGAGAAAATGGGAACGCGCATGCGGCCCCCTATGGATCCTGAGTGGGGGGGGGGGGGCAAACGAAGCCTTGAAACCAATGGCTATCCAGATAGTACACTGGACAAATGCGAAAGTTCGGCCTGTGGTCGGGAAAACCGAGAAGATGTCAGTGAAGTCATGGAGCTCCGTGATACAATCTACTTGCTTGAGAAATTTATATGGCTGTATCAACGGATTGCGCTAAATGCAAATTAAAACAATGTTTTATTTTGATTCCCTCTGGTGATTTTGTCGATACTATATGGCAAATAAATATTAATAAAACTCGCCGAACTATTTTTTTTTATTTAAAACAAGTTTGTAATTATCGAGCCAGTAAATGAATATCTTAAATACTAGTAAGCAACAAACAATGGTATGTGCGTCTGTAGCGGTATTTGCTATTTTTTCTGGGTTTTTTTTTCTGTAGAAATTAAATTTCGCAGACTGAATGTGAGTATAGTTTATTTTTATTTTTTCATGAAAACGATATTGATGATTTCTATCGTTATCATGTACTGTAAAAAAAAAAACTCACAAAAAGTTATAGAAGTTATACACACGTTACTGCATTTCAAGGAAATTTATGTCAATAGACTTTAATGAAGCTAGTTACTGCTTTGTGAAAAATATAATTTAGACAACCCATTGTATCTATTTCAAAAGAGTTGCATTATTGGGCATTTTGTTTCTCAATACACTGTACGTTATTTCATTTATGGGTCACGGTAATCCCACTACTTACCTCATCGCTTGGTGATGTACACATGGAAAATTAGCACCATTAGTCAATGTATGATTTTCATAAGTATCCACAAAAATGAGTTTCGATCAACAACCACTACCATGACATAGAACTAGTATGTCTAACACCGTAGTCTACGATATCAATGTCTCTGGTATATTTTAGATAGCCATGTATTGTTGTTTGGTAGAGTCGCTAATTTTCTTTAGAGAATTGTTATTGTATTCGATTACAGTGAGGCATACATACCTTCAATGTGTATTTGTGACTTGTTTCACAGATGTCAGCAATAACAAACTCAGTTTATATATATATTGTACAACGTAACAAAAATGCCTCATGTTCTGATGTTTTAGTATTCATTCAGATAACTTAGCCCATGCTAAGAAAAGGTGCGTGAACGCTTAGCACGGACTAAGAAAGGCTAAATACGGCCCGTTTTTAGGACCCTTAGCTTGGACTAAGCTCCCCAAAAGCCAATGTATTTAATGTTCATTTGGACGATTCACTATTATATTCATAATTATTCATTTCGGCATGCTATTTTTGACATTACAATCAAGGCGAGTACATCTAGGGACTATGTACTACTAGTATTCCTGTTATTCTGAGAGTACTTGAGATTTGTGGATCTCGACATTCTTAATACAGAACTGTCGAAGCGAGTTCTCTGTCATTCGGTATAGGTGCGGTAAGCTACATTAGGCGAATCATCGAGTCACAAATGGAGGTCTCATTTCAACTTAGTTTGTTCGAATCCAGAATGTAGCCCCACAATAAGCATCTGTTTTCCATCTTTCGAACTTTTCGAATAAGAATCTGAATCGTCTTTCTACCTCTCTTTCTTTTCAGACCACGCATAATGTAATGATATAAATTAGGAAAAACGCAGAGGAAATATAATGTTTGCTTTGCAAGCGAGCAAGAACTGATTTGAGAATAATTGCACATGTGCTTGATTGAATGAACTATGACCCGTACAATCTCGATTTGCATATTGTCAATCAAAGGTCCTGTTATTTGCGTACTTATGCAAATTAGGCAACTGGACATAAACATTACCACGTGTGAGTGTTTTTTTTAAACCAGAAAATAACCATCAATTTTAACGGTGTTCCAATAAGAGTTGATTAGTCAAATTTTCACAGAATTTTCTTTAGATAAAAATCAATATAAAAGTGAAAAAAACTATCTTGATTGAAATTCACAAATAAACTGCATCTCTACCCTAATACAAAACCAGTATTGGCAGGGCGGTTATTGAAACTCGCATTACAGTCCGACCCCGTCTTGAAACCGGAAATTGAGTAAGGGACTGTGTCCCTATATATTACATCAATGCAAGTCCCAAAATACGTTTCACTATATTCCTTATAAAAACAAGTCTCATGCATCGCCCAATATTGTATGGCAATGGACGATAAACCCAAGTGAGCGCATTTCCGCACGTAGCTCTGATCTAGTATCATTTTCAATGTCAACACGATCTCTAGTGACAGTAGATTCGCCAATCATATTACATAAATTGCGGAGAGCCTTGACGATGTTTACGCAATATTTTCGCCGGCTTCGTCAGTTTGTGAATTGTCAATTCATGAAAAACGGACTTTTACATACGTTGTGTATGTGAGATTTGGTGTTATGCACATAAATATATAAATTATTATGAGAATAGAAACTGACACTTAGCACATCAAGAAAAGTTTATTATGTCATGTTACAGTTCAAGTTCAATTTGATTTTTTTAATATTCAAACTGTGTAATTAGATCGAAACTTATATCTAGCATAACAGTCGATTTGTATCACAACACAACCCAAGATGATTTACTGGCTGCCATAGACCATATCGCTATTGCAAATCACAGTGTATTGTGGGATAGGTATGACTGAATCAAACACAACTTCGTCCATCAAAAAGTGTCTTTGCTTCCGGAATCTGACATAATTATCCCAAAATGCACTATAATTTAGAATTGCGATATACGTTTTAAATTTTGCCAGTAAAGACATTATAGACTCACATTTTTAATTGTCTGGCAGCAAGTTGAATACAAAGCAAATTAAATGCACTGTCATACATTGCGCCCTTCTTTCATTTTCTCTATATACAAATAATTAAATATTTTAAAATAATTTTAGTTCTCTAATATAAAGAGTATAATACAAACTGTCTTTGCCGCAAACATATCAATATTCGTTCGATGGAATAATGAGTCTGCGAAAATCTAAAAATGTAATAACAGCAAATAGTAGTTTTAGAAGATACATTACCAAAACAAAAAGATAAAGTTATCAATCTCCGATCGAATCGGTTGACGGACGTTGACGGAACAGTTGTGGCATGTAGATTCATCATTGTTCTTTTTTTCAGGCAACTGAAAAAATCCAGAACACACTTATTAAGTGGTTCACGAAATACAAACGTTGTGGTTGGCTACAAAGGTTCTCCTCCTCGCATTGTTCGTCGTTTATTTCGTGGTTGCGCTTATATATGATATAAACAATGCCATATCGTTGATCGTCTTGACAAGCTGCGTGATACTCTGTTTTCTGTACGCTCTAATCAGGGACCATTTTGATGACAAAGTGTATCGTATATGTATAAAGCCATTCACATGGTTCATCATTCAACATTACAACATACTAGTAGTTGAATGTTGAGTTTAGTATAGTCCGCCACGTGCGTCTTCTGTCATTGGACTCAAATTGGCATCGGGTGGGGATGTGTAAAAATGTTAAAGCAAATTATGTTATTTTCAAAACCCAATATATTACCAAACGTAATGTAAGTTTTGTGTTAGGCTAAACATTAATTCTGACTAAAAATGGTGCAGTGACTAGTGTTATTCTTTTCTTAATTTTTGCTATTTTCATTTTGACAGTATTTCAACAGAATTAAAATTTAATCTAGTTGTGGGAGGATAGTGGTTTTGGCCCCCAACGCTGTCATTCTTCATCAGCAGTGGCGAGCATTGACTG